TTTACCTGGATTAAATTTAAAACATTTAATTTAACACAAACCAGAAAAAATAATAAAAGCAGATATTTTATTACACAACCAGAATATTTATCGGTAGAAATAAATGCTCATAATTTATTATATTTAATTTTACTTGTCAAACAAAAGCAGTTACCACCACAAGCATTGAATATTCCTATTTTTAACTCGCAAGCTTGTGAATCAATTTTTAGAAATACGCGAGCGTTAAGTGGAATTTATTCAACCATAGTCAACTTTACAGTACATGATTTTCTACGACGTGCCCAAAGATTATCATTATTGAATGACATTAAATGTAAACAGTTACATAATGGTTCAGTTGACAAGTTAGTCTTTCCGGTTCATTATAAACATCGGGTTGAACGTCAATCATCATTTACACACAGTCAACTTGAAATTGATGAAATAGACATCGAACGAGTTATTACTGATGCCTATCATCGTGCTGTTGATATGCTTGAAGGTCTAGATATATTGAACTTATTGGAAAAAAAACATGTTCTTGGATTAAAACCATTAAGTGAATATTTATTTCGACAATTAAATTCCAATTCATAAAAACATAATTACTCTTCTCAAATAAGCAATATAGACGATGAAGTATTTGAAAGTGACGATGATAATGATGAAGATGGAGATGACACAACAAATGATCTCAGCATGAATGAGGACAATGATGATAGCTCTATTAACAACGATTACACTGATGAAGATGAACAAAATAACACTCAACATTTAATAAATACTACAAAGAAAGACTTTTCTGGAGTAAAAGTTGCTGATAAAGTGGAGCCTCATATTGAACATACCTATTTTAAAGTGAAATTAAATCATGATACAAAATTTTTACACAAACAAACTGCTTGTTGGTTGTTAACAGAAGAGAAAAGTAAACTTTCAAATGACCGATTACTTCGCGTGCAACAGGTCAATAAATGATAATATAAATGGTTTTTTCTTTTTTTTTTATAGTTTTTGTTTGATTTTTTTCAATAAAGGGTATATTTTGTTGAATTTAAAATTTTTTTATTCATTGAATGTGTTGTATATGGATGGTGCACAGATACTGTGCGAACATCTCAAAAGTGGAGCCAGTATCAGTTTAATTCTATGTAACAGGTGATGAAAAGTAAAATCAATATACAGCAGTATTACATGTCTATAATATACTTGTGAAGTGCTCTCCAGAATTTCAAACGACTCCACTGGACTCCATTGGACTCCACTGGACTCCACTGGACTCCATTGGACTCCACTGGACTTCACTGGACTTCACTGGACTTCATTGGACTCCATTGGATTGGAGTCCGCTATTTCCCCCTTGACTTTGTCTTTATGAATAAAAACTTATTAGTCTCCTCTCTCAAATAAAAAAGAACTATTAGATAAAGCTTTATTAATAATGGAGTTATATGCATTTGTTAAGCGATTGTGACTTTTGGAACACCCTGTAGGACAAATCATATCTATATAGTAGCCAATTACCGAGCAAATGGTTATTGAGGATCATCATAGTAGAACATTTATGGTCTTTACTAAATACACGTGCATGCCTTTTTGTCTTTTGAATAATATATCAAAAGATGCGGAATTTGATGGACTTTCAGAATTTGGATTCATTATTTTAGGATCCCTGACTCGACGAGGTTAGAGACAAATTATTAGCCAAAAGACGATCATCAGTCATAGATCTACTCTTCCTTGTGGAGGCTCGATTATTTATTAAAAGTTATTATAATGACCATTGGTATAGGCTATTTTGTAGAGAACTCTTTTCTGCATCTTTTTAGACCTCTCCTGACTCAAAAGCGATGAGTAGAGGGCGAGAAAACTTCAAAATACTACCACAATGTAAAGAAAACCTATTTTTTTGAAATTTTTTGAATATTTATGGTCTAACCTCAAAAGTTGAAGACTTGTGACGTTTCGGCATTTTTTCACAAATCCTTGAGAAAAATCTAATATTTTGGATTTAGAAGGTTTACAATGCGATCTTTCATTTGAACTGAAAAAATTCAAAAAAAACTTTTAGCTTCGGCTGGCTTGGGTGGTCTTCTGACGGACTCTTTCTTAAATGCTTTTTATAAGAAATTATAATACCTTTGCCACTACTTTTGGATTGTCCTAAGTAGGTCTCACTCAAAATTGAAGCCAACGCAAGACAAGAATTCAGCATTGAAAAGTATACCAGTCCTATTACTCAGTAGTTGTGTTTTAGAAAATATCCTGTGAACAAATGAATAGCTTCTTTTGTTTAATGTTTGACGCTCTATCGGATGATATATTAAAATAAAATTTGGCCGATTGATTGTTGAGCAAGAGTGCTCAAGTTTTGGGAACCAGGCTTTGATGATTTTTCTCATTAAATGTGACGAGTGCTCAAATGTAGGCAAGACTAAATTTGTCACCCACTGAACCAAATGCGCTGAAAATTTGGATTTAGAACTTTCCAATATCGGTGACTCACATGCCTATGTGAAATCCAAAAAATATAGACTGACCAATGCCTCTGTTTCTTGTGGACCCATGGGAGTTTTCCTAAGCTTTATTAATATGAGTATCCGTATACCGGTTTCTAATGATCATTATAGGGTATCATATAGCAATCGTGTAAGTTAGGATAGCAGCATTTTTTGCCAATCAACTAATCTGAAATTCTCTCTAAATGTCAGACGGCTTTGTTCTTCTTTTCTAGAGTTACGGTTTCTGGACGTTTTAGTGTTGACGACGCGTGCTTCAGGATCAGAGCTAGGACGAAAGTATTTGTACTTGAAATTTTCGTACTTTTACTTGGATTTCGAGACAAATACTTCTGTAGTTATACTCAAATACAAAAATTTGTACTTTGTAGTTTAATTTGAAATACGAAACAGTGTCCTTTGTATATTTGAAATATCCTTTCAGTCAATATTTGGCAAATTCTATCCATGATTCGAAAACTCAGCGAAGCAATAATATGCCCTGATGTATAAATCATGAATCTGAGTTAACGTAGATTTTTCATTTTGTTATGCAGACGGTCTGTCCACGTAACGGTAGCCTTTCAACGGCGTCTTTTTCACAGAAAAGCTAATCTATCGCTTCAAAATCATGATTTATTTAAATCGATTTTTCACCCTAAGCATGAGAACCTTACTCTCGACATATATTAACGTCAAGTTGGCCTCAACACCTTTTTTATAGTCGAGAAACAGATATCAGAAAACGTGATTTCATCATGAGGCATTTCCCGCGGTGTAAAGTTAGATCTCATTATTTTTCAAGTTTTCCTTTTACTTTAAATAGCTTGTTATCTAAACTACAAGGTTGCCACAGAATGGTTTTTATAGAACCTATAGTTGAGCTGAATTTTCCATTTTTTTTTTCTAATTAACTGAAAATGACGTACCATTTTGTATGATTTCGTAACGGCATGTAATTGTGCTCATAAAATAAGAATAAGAAGAGCAAACTCAATGTAACTTCCAGTAGATGTAGAGGAATTAGATTTACGACTTCTGTAAAATTCTCAGTCTTATAGCTTTTCATTTGGCTGAAATACAGGATGAACACTAGGAAAAAACGTGATTCCGTCATGCTTGGACAAGCTGCAGAACTATATTTAGCCATCATATTAAGTCAAACGAGCACCATTATTTAGAAATATTCATTAGAGTTTCAAAGAAACTCGAACAATGTAAACGGATGATTTTTACAAGTGATCCTCGCTAAATTTCTCAGCATATTACACTAAAAATTTCCATTAAGCCCCCCTCTCAGAAACCAACTTTGTTATTTTTCATCCGATTTCAACCAAAATTTTAGAGGATGTTAGTCTAGGCTAGGAGAGATTATGGTTAAAATATCTCCCCCAAATCTCCAATAAACTAATGAGTTATAGTCAATTTATTGGTCAAAAGTATCCTGTACGCGGGCAAGGATTTCACAATAAGGATACGAGCTACCAAGCCCGGGCGGTTTTCAAGTTGTAGAGCACCCTTAGGGCTAGATCCTCTCAGGGTCCGATTTTTGAATTTCCCTTTGTTTGTTTTTTAAAAACCCTTTTTCGCAAAATTCACAAAATCATGCCCAAAAAATTGCTACTAAAAAATAAAATATCTAAGGTTTTTGTTTCACCAAAAGAGGAATTCAAAATTCGGATCCTGGGAGGATCTAGCCCTACCTATCTACTATGCATTAAAAGAAATCATCACTTCTATATTGAGTCATTATGAAGAAAATCTTGCCCACGTAAGCGGTATGCTCGAAAAAATTGATTTTGAGAAAAACGAAAAACAAAGTTTTTTGATGCAGTAAGTGTCTCTATTCGAAATAAATCTGCTTATCTACCTAATATTTTTGCACCATTCCTCAAGCTTTATTGATGGTGTGTACGTGGATATATCATAATACGGTTAGAGATACATATCATGCCTAAATTGTGGTCATGGTTCCCTATATATATATGTTACTTCATGTCACACATGTTTTTATTAACTTTTTCGTTAATAATATTTTCATTCTTTTGTTTGACCGAGAGAGTTGAAATTTTTATGACATATATAACTAATCAAGATTTTTTAGTTCTGAAAGTTTCAGCTCAATAACTTTGACTAATGGTAAAATACATAAGTTTTCGTACCTGATTTTTGCTGAAAAATGAGACAAGAATCGAGTACAAAAACTTATGTATTTCACTTTGATCGATGTATTTTATCATTAGTGATAGCTATAGAGCTGAAACTTTCAGAACTAAAAGATCTTGATTAGTTATATATGTCATAAAAATTTCAACTCTCTTGGTCAAACAAAAGTATGAAAAATATCATTAACACTGTATCCTCAGTTATTATGCAACATTCGCCAGAAAAAAAGACCAATGTACACGTTTTGGCAAAACAAATTATGCTAGGTTGTAGTTCATTACAAGGGCTATTAGAATATGTATAAATCTCAAAATCGAGTTTTTTTCGAAAAATTGACTTTTCTGAGGGGGAAGGGGGAGGCCCTTAAAAAAACAATTTTCTTTTTTCTTAAATAAACATACATATAAAACAAATGAGTTTTATTTTTTAAGAATAAGATCACGTGTTTTTTCTTGATCATTAACACCAGGAATATATTCACCAAGTTCAAGCCTCTCGGCAAATGTTGATAAATACTTTGCAAAACCTAAACAAAAAAAAAATAAAACAAAGTTTTATTGAATAGATTTCTCGAACTGAAATCTATAAAAACAAAAAACATATTTACTTCAATACTTTACATCACGAATTGGTTGCTTATGATCCCTTTCAATAACTGATGTTTCTTCTTGACCATTATCCTCACTTGTATCAACATAACGTAAAACACTCATTGATATTGTTGATATTAATAATGGTATCACAAATGATGGTTTAAAATCTACAAAGTGATGTTTTTGAACATTATTATTTTTTTGTTCATCATTTCGTTGAATTATTTCATATAATGGTAACCAACGCCAACCACCAAATAAACCTTTTGATTCAGTTGATTCACCATTATGAAAAGTATAAGCTTCACGTACAGAGGGAAGAAATTTTGCACCTAAAATTGTTTCAATTTTATCAAGTTCATCAATTGATGATATAGGTTTATTTCATTGACGAAATACATCAGGTGCATTTTTAGATAACCAAATCTCAATACGTACAAATGATTCTGAAATACTCATTCTAGAAAAAAGAAAAGTTTTGTATAATATCTAAAAACCACTAAAGAACAATGAAAAAACAACAAAATCATTCTGTGAATAATATCAAGTGTAATAATCAAGCCTTGAAAATAAATATGATTACTGGAGAAAAGAAAGAAAAACCGATAAGATCATCATTCACTTGGATAGGATCGATTCATGAAGTACAACAAGTTTCCATATGGATATAAATAATA